AAAAAAATACGCCACACATTGTGTTACAAATAGAGATGTCAAAGTTTGAAATTACTACGCCCTTGATTATGGACTTCCGGATTTTGAAATTGGAACGTGCAAAAAAGATTATGAAAGCAAAAAGGTTTTATTTTGAACACACCTTGTTTTGAAATGCTATGTTTACGCAATTCCTTTGAGTAAAGTAGCGCTGAAATGTATTCTTATGTTACAAGTTACAATGAATATTTTAACAGTTATTCTTCAAATGTATTTCATACCAAAAACCTATTCATAACTTAATTTAACTGTAATTATCTGATTTTTATTAATTACTAGTACAATTAATCAAATCAATCGATACAATTTAAGCCTACCTTCCACGTGGACGGCCACCCGCATCCATGGTTATTACGATTTATGTGTTAAAACTAAATTGAGATGTGTTATAATGACCGCTCCCAAAATTATTGTTGCGGTTAGAGGCCGTCTCGGTAAGGACAATGGATTAGAGATACTTTTTTTATCAACTTTAATGTATTCTAGTAAGATTAAAAATTTATAGCATCATATTAGCATCAGTTATAGCATCGTGGACATTGGTAAAGTCAAATTTAGTTATTGCACAAAACTAACAATATTATATTATTACTTCTTCATAACATTTCAGACAAATATCGAAAGCTTGTGGTTAGTTTAATAGTAGATAGCCTTAGTGTAGCTTATACATCAAAATCAAATAAAATCGTGATATATATTTTTAAAAGAGCATTAAATTTAGGTATTATTATAAAATTGAGTTATTTTATTAAAGTAAACTTTTATTGTTTTACACGCACAAGTTCTACAAACATTTTGGTTCTACGTCAATTATGTAATACAATTAGCTCATTACTTTAATACAATTTTTAAGAACGAGTATTTAACTATTACGTCATTCTGGGTTCCCTCTAGAATGTTCTACGGTTAGCTTATATCAGGTATTTAAAAAGGTGTGTAATCCAAAGTCCTAACCAAAAATCCGTTTAGAATTAGATGCGTTAAAGTTAACCCAAGCTGGACCCCTAATGACGGTTCGTAGTTAGCTTGCTTCCGTTTACAATTCCGACCAAATATTAAATATAGGGTAACTGCTCGAATAGTATTTGTTACTCGGAAATAATTACAGCTCTCTGACGTTTGTTATGAATATATTAACCAGAGTTTTTCATGAAAAAAATCTTATATTTTTGGTTGGTAATGGTAGTCATGTCTTTCTACGTTAAAATTACTAATTACGTAATGATATTTTATTTACTAATAACTGCGCTATATATAGCTACTAATATGTTATATTTGACATAATATAGTTATTTATATGTGTTCTTCGTACCTGAATTCAGTAAGATATCACTTTAAAAATGGAGTGTTGTATTTTTATTATATTATCTAGTCGTTTAAGAATAGCTATTCAAGATCAACGGTATAATTATAACAATCCCACTATAATCACACAATCGTATAATGGATATGTAAAAGTCAAAATGAGTAATAATAGAGAGTGGTAATTGACCGGAAATCGAAATGATTAGCCAATCATAGCGCGGGAAAGTGCAATATGGCGTCGAGTTAGCTTTGTGGGAAATGGCGCGTAATTAGTGCTGTGTATACTCGTATATAAATTAGGTTTACAATTGAATTTTAGGAAGATTTCGAGATTATTGATGTTAAAACATTCATTCTAGATTTTTTTTTTTTAAGTTGTGTTTTTTTTATGGATGCTGGGCAGTAGTACCTAAAGTAACAGGCAACGCACTTGCGAGCCTTCTGGCAATGTGAGTGTCCATGGGTGGCATTATATCTTAATATCAGGTAAGCTTCTTGCCGCCTGTCTTTTCTTAGATAGAAGACATGACTGATCTTTGTGTTTATAATTAACTGAGTTTGTATTATAATTTCTCTAAGCATACAAGTTTCCTGTCTGAGTACAGTTCTCGAATCATCCTCCGCCAGTCACCAACCCCCTTATGATCTCGCTGCTTAACCGTTTCAGTTCTGCAGAACTGGATATATTTGTGAAAGGTTTGGGTTTTTTAGTAGAAATTCGCCCGCAATCTAAAAAAAGTGTGTGCGTACAAAGTGAAACTTCTTTGGCAAACTAATTTTTAAGTCTTGTTCATATTTATATCAAAAACTTTAGATTTTCGAGACTTAGAGGGAGGTATTTTTTTTCTTAAAAGGGTTCTCAAATCTGACATTATAATGCATTGTTTATATAGTTTTAGGTAATTATGTATAGATACTGGGCTGTAGTAAGCCTAAACTAACAGGCAACGCACTTGCGAGCCTTCTGGCAATGTGAGTGTCCATGGGCGGCATTATATCTTAATATCAGGTGAGCCTCCTGCCCGTTTGACCCCTGTTCTATAAAAAAATAATAAGAATAAACACATTTTTTATTTTATTTAGAAATAAATTTTTAGTAGTTTACGGTATGTTCTTATAGTGTCATCTCTTTTCGAAGGTTTGCGATCATCATGGCTACCTCAATTTTGAATGCCGCGCTTCAGAACATAGACTTGGTGTTCCACCAAACCATTGTCTTCGGGTAGTATGGTTAGGTACCTAGTAAGTTTGTCTATTAAAATTATTGTTTGCCTGTGCTGTTTTCTTAGTAATATTCTTTATTGAAGGTCGTGTCACTGTAAGGTGCCTGCTACCCTGCTAGTGATATCTCTCCACTTTGTTCGGTCTATAGCTTCTTATTGATTATATACCTACTTTATATGTTTGCGAGTTGTTCCCACGAGAATGTCAGTGCGTGCTCCTATTTCACCATGCCTAGCCGATAGAGGTCAAATCTTTGTTTTTAATTTATTTTATTATTATTATTAACTTAAGATGTCATGTGCAACATGGTGTAATCCTTGCAGCTCCTTACAAACTTTGCGTAAAAAAAAACTTGGCGATAAAAAAGAGTGGCGGAGAGTTTATAGCCAGTGCTTCTCTTTCGTTCTACGCCCTTGATTTGAGAACTGCCAGTAGATGTAATTTTGAATTTTGGATTGAATTGAATTAGCTGTTATGGGTAGACCTGTGAGAGTCATGACTTCTCACTAGCGGGCTGGCGATCTGCCCCGCGTTCTTTTGCCTTCCACCTTGCCGACGACAACCAGCTCGTCCAGATTATCTGGTTCGTGACGGGCAATATGACCAAAATAAGCTGGACCTCGTGTTGTTGAGACCCTCGTACGAACTCTGAGGCTGTTACCTAATAATTCTAAATCAAAAACACCAGAATAACATAGACGTGAAACACAATTTTCTCGTAAATAACAATAGGTTAACAGCAGGTGCGGTTAACAAATCATCATATAATAATGAATAATCAACCCAAGTCAATGTATTAGATTACTTTTTCCACACCGTGGCTGCTCGCGATGCGTGAAGTTAATGTAAACAAACAAAATGGCCGCCGTGCGTGTGTCAAATTTAATGGAATTAATTGGCTTATATACGGTTATATATGATTTAGATGGTTGAGGTGTCAGTTTGGAATGATTTGAATGAAGGCGATTCGATTTTTATATTAGTATAAGGTTCATTTGCAAAGAAATTAATACATTTAGATTGGTTAACTTTGTTTTTTTTAATGTTTTCTAGATAATTCCTCGACTATGTAGTCGTTGGAGGTATTAAATAAAAATACTTGGTTTTACTCTCGAAATTCGAATTGACCTTTATAAACATATCTCCAATATATGCTTGAAAGCAACAAATATTTTCAAACAATTAGCAAGGGCGGCGAGAAATGGCTGTGGTTTACATCGAGATTTAATTCGTATTAATACAGATTGATTAACTTTTGGTAGATGTTAAGAACTTTGCAAATTTTATAATAATTCCTCTTTTATTTTTGAATGCCACATTTTTTTTAAATATAGGTAACAATTAAGAGGCTCACCTGATGTTAGTGTGCCCATGGGCCATCACATTGCCAGAAGGCTCGCAAGTACGTTGCCGGTATTTTAAGAATTGGTACGCTCTTCTTTTGAAGGAGCTTAAGTCGAATAGGTTCGTAAAGACTTCCTAGACTAAGTGATGTCTGAAAATAAAGACCACCGATGTATGGATAGATAGGAATGATGAATTTTTAAATTAATACGGTATATAAAGTAGGCTTGTAGTAGTTTAGTAGTAGGTAATGAATAAAATAATAAGTGGTAGGTACAAATTAACTGTTTCTTTAAGGTCCGTATTCCAATAGGTGCTTCAAGCCTGAATCTCATCTGAGCACTGTCAAATTTCTATTTCAAAGTTCAAATACTTAGAAAAATTTATTTGACAGCTCTTAAAAGCAAGGCCTAACCTACCTAAGAAGTTTAATCATTAACATTTTAAAATTAATTTGGTATAATCTTAATAATATTGTACCTAATACAAAACAGCAATATCATGCTAAATTATTAAACTCACATCTCTAACCCAACGAAGTCATAAATAACTTTATAAATATTAAAAATTCAGAGTAAGAGAGGAAAAAACGATACGGCAAAACATGTGGTGCGCTCCACTATAAATCTAATAACCAATTCACGCGACAGACAATTAGCCGATGAACTATAAATGAAGAAAACTGGCAATTTCTCGAGTGACAAACGTCAGTCTTATCGGCGCTAAATAATGGAGCCGTAGTTAGAGTCGCGTCTTCATCCTGGTAATTAAACGGGCCTCCGCTCCTGCCGAGCTAAATTAATCACCACGAATCTTTCCCCCCAATCCGAACACGATTAAAAACTTTTATTGGAGCGCCATGTGTGACGGCCCCGTGCAGTCGGCGAGCGTGCATCGACCAATTAGAGGACGCCCGCGCTAACGCCGCGAATGCTGATTGGTCGGCGTAAAACAGGCCACGCCCACTCATCCCGCCCGCGGCAAGGTTGTCACACACTACGTCAGTTGATCGAGGCGCGTCGATCTGTCAGCCGTATCCTATGTTGCATCCGATTTCTGTGAGTTGTGTGATGGATGTGAATTGAACTATGGAGGAGGAGTCAATGTCAGGGCACAGCTGTTCTGAGGACGATATCAGTGTTGGGCGACCGTCGCCGGCTCCGTCGCGTTCGCCGTCACCCCAGGACTATTTCCGGCCTTTGAAACGGTTGAAGATGGCCTCCGAGCCGGTTGAGGAGAGGCGCGGCGATGGTGTGAAAAGTTTTTCGATTCTGGACATTTTGTCGCACAGTCCGCGGACTCCGCCGCGTATTGTCAGGCCGTGGGATGCGTCGGGGTTCGAGCGCTTGCAGCGGTTGCAGCGTTTAGCTGGCGCGGCTTTGCTGGACGGAGAGAGATGGCGTTTGGCAGCGCTAGGTCTTTTACGACCGAGGGAATTGCCAGCTGAATGCTGCGATTCAGTGTCGGAAAGGTCTTCTTCAGCGTCTGATTGCTGTTCGGAGCCCCGGCGGCCTCCGCAGCAGGGTTCAGCTGCCCATACGCCTCTAGATGCGCTATTCCACATGACCAGCAAAACATTTGAAGCAAACAGTCCTGACAATGGAGGTAAGTCATTGAAATATTTTATTCGCATTTAAACATTGACAAAGTTATATTTTGTGCTAAATTATTAAAGTAAACTCCAACTTAGAAAATAGTTCCAATTGGAATCCAGTTCCAAACGTTTATTTTAAAACCTAGTTCAACAAGTTATAATTTAATAAGTATTATGAATATTATCTAACTAAAAGGGTTTGAGAGCTCACTGAACTAAAAGCATTGCCTTTAGCTTTTCAAACTGGCATTAAGTAAATCTATCTAAACAAAAACACATTCCATTACATCAGATATTTAGAAATATTACCCCACAGATATTTCTACCATACCTACCTTACATACATTCCTACCTTTCATGTTGTTAGAGTTTTTTTTATAACATAAATCCTAATAAATAAAGTTATTGCTGAAACATGGCAGCCATTTTTCTAATCAAGCTAATTTTTAACTGTAATTAATTAAATAAAATAATAAAGCTCATATGTGTATTGTAACAGTTATCCTTCATAATTGTTAAAACTATACACACTATTGACAACTCTACAATTTAAATAAAAATTTAACTAATATAAATTAAATTTTGGTCCTTGTCCAATTCTTAGTTGTAAAGCCCTTTTCACGAGGTTTAGATATAAAAAATCAAAAACATTATCTACATTATATTTTATATGGACTTTCATAATTTTACACAGGTTATCCATTTATGTCAGCTAAAAGATATATTCTAGCTTACAAGCCAGTTTAGAGTCTATGGACCTTTACCCTATAATTTATTCTCTCGGAAATTCTACAATCTCTGCCAAAAAAGCAAAATACTAATTGACTAGCGACTCGTCCCGCCATTTTTAGCTTTGCGTTGTAACAAATGATTTAATTCCTGGGAAATCTTTTCCATTAAATGTTGATTATAATGGCTAAATAACTAATATAAATCAAATATAATTTCGTACATAACATAAGGTATGCCTAATGGCTCAATTACCTATTCATAGTTCGTCCTTGGTCCAAATTACGTTATCTATATTAACGTTTCAATCAGTAAAAGCACTTTATTTACTTATTTCAATATTTTATTACATTATTTAGTAATCTAATTTCGTAAAATACGTGAAAATAAAAAAGGTTAATTAAAAATTATAAGATATAGGTAGGTACATTTATAAATATTGTATGTCGTTTCGTACGTAGAATATAAAATAGCCATCAACATATAAGAATATCAACATATATATTATACATAATATAACCACTTTCCCCAATACAACAATTAGATATTAATTATACCAGGATAGAATAAATCAACTACAGATGCCTAAATCCTGCTTTAAAAGTTTCCATTTGAAATTGGAACAAAGTATTGGTTTTTTTTTTCAGATTTTATGGCCAGGTAGAAACCATTTGAATACTGGACATGACTATAAATTACAGTCTATACCTAGGTATATACTAGTTGTCAATACAACCGTCATCAAATACATATTAAGACTTCAATTGGCTCCTAACTAATGATTCCTATGATTACTTTTACTTCTCAATTATAATACTATTAGTATTTAGTTTATACATATATGTATTAACCGAAAGGCGAAATTTTACGTGAAATTAGAAAGTTTCATACGCCAGATTTCTTAATTTAACAAATTCACAATTTAGGTCTGATAGATATTTTGATTAGTCTTCAAAATGTGGCTTGTTGTTTGACTTAAAAGTATAAGATATAATTATATAATGTATCACGATACTAATATTTGTTCTAGATTTACTCCTAATTCAGTCAAGCCTTTTCACAAGTTGCAATTCCATATACCAGCATGTGATATCACATTATTCAAACAATTTTATAGTACATATTTAATTTCTAATACAGTACCTATGTGGTGCTATCCTATATGTATTTGATTAAACACTAGTCATATTTGACAGATAATTTATAAAATTATCACGGTTGTAGGTGTAAGTTTAAGAACGCAAGAAAATTATGACAATTATTTTAAAAGACATTTCTTTTAGTATAAATTATGGAATAGTATTAGGTAATCTAGTGCCTCCACAACTCTATGAGTCTTCGCTGCAGGTTGCATCCGATTCTTTAATATTGATTTTATAGACAAGTAGAACCTTCTGTGCCTGACATATGTAATTTTTGAGTTTTTAAGACGATGTTTTCTTTCACAAATAAATTAAGAATATAATTTATACATGTCTACCTACACATCGGAAAATATTTCTCATTTTACATTTTCAGTCCTCTAAGGACGTAGAACGGATGAGAAGAAATGGCAAATACACACATATAGTCACTCTTTTAAAATTAAAGGTGTTTTTCATAATGTATGTAAACATTATACCTAGCAATCTTCTCATCATATGTTAAAGCAGTTAATTAATGTAATTAAATAAATAAATAAGAAAATCAGAATAGCAAGTTGTAATTGCGCACATAGAAAGAAGGAATTGGTGCAACCCTGATTCGAAAGCACGACCTCGGGATTGAGAGCGGCACTGCTTAAGATATTTTAACAGTAGTAATGAATTTCCAAAATTTTTTTGCTTAACCAAAATTTCATGTTTCGATTATAAAATTCCTATTTAAATGAATATGTCAGAACATGTAGTTTTATATGTTTGATGATCATTTATTTCCAATTTATTTCTATGAATAAAACTTTGACCTTTCGAGTTTACTTCATTAGAACTAAAGGTTTACGATTTACCTCAGCAATTATAATTAAAACGAATTATAGCTTTGTTATGATGTCTAGTCTCGAGCAGCACTTGCTTCATTCTTTATAGCCAAAAAGATATTTTTGTAAGGCTAAAAAGGTGACTAGTCAACTACGAACTCTTAAGTATTATACCTAATAAATTTTATAATCTAAAAGTATCTGCAATACACGTGTACCACTTATCTGTTCTTATAATCTATGGTGTTCTATCTATCTAGAAGGACTCATCAAAAATTTTAAAAGGATGAATCCTCCTTTTAGTTAGAATTAGGTAGGCCAAATTATCACGATAATATCTTTCTTAATGTCGTTGAATAGTTGCATTAAAATGTACTTAAGGTTTGTACTTGCAGAAGTACCTATAGGTAAAAAAGTGTTGTAGAAGTCTCGTAAAAAACATTTGGGCCACAATTTAAAACCTAAAACTCAAACCGTAAAGAATTATTAGATAGGATTCTTAAAATTGCACTATTGTTACTATCTATAAATTTACACTGGCCATTAATCACATCTTGCCTTTTAGAAAAAGAAAATAAATGTCATTGAAAAGTATTTATGTCAGATTTGAAAATCGAACGCTAATGATAGTTCCGGACGCACACGATGTCTTCTTTCCCATTGAGGCGTACACTTATTGGGCGAATACAAAGAGATATGCTAACACGGCTAATATCGAGTGCTTTGTGTCGGAATAGGTGATTATTTTATGATTACAGAGCGGCTTTCGTAATTGAAAGATTTCTGAATGGCGCATCTGCGCGCGGCGCGAGGCGCTCTGTCATTATTCGATCGTGTTTTTTTAAATTGTCATCGATGATTTTGGCAATTACTATGTTGGTGTATTAAACATTCATGAGGCGTGTACATACATTCACTTTTATTACATTCTTTATCTTTCAATGGGACCATGATATTCTTTAAGACTATAACGAACAACAACTTTAATGCAATAATATCCCTTAGGTATATATGAGTAAATTTATTTCTTCACTTTAAATTCAAATAAAACATTAATGGCATAATAATAGCAAATCAATGAGGTTCTAAAGATCGCATGCATATGCAGCCATTCAGTCTTTTGAACACTATAAGTGTAATTTATACGCTTCTTGCAAAAACGCCATTGTTATTTTACAAAAGAAGACATCATATTAAAGGGCATTCCAAATTTGAAAACGTCAGAAGGCGGGATGTGTAAATGTTGCCATGAAAAAATCGATGATGTTTAAATTAAGAATACGTTATATTATTAATTTGGTGCAAGACGAAAAAGTTAATAATTTAATGATTTTAATTTGTTAACTTAAGACAAATTTATACTCTATTACAATTCCGTCTGAAAGACTTTTTTAGCCAAAAAAATAGGCCAATAAAAAAACAGTTAAACCAATATAGGTTTAAATGTCTCATTATCTGGCCTATAAGTTTAAAAGATACTTCGATTTTGGCGTAAAAATTAGGGCAATTTTTAAACCTACTTTTGATTTTCTATATTTAATACGATTACATTACATTTATGTTAAGAGTAAAAACGAAGAACCCTTCATAAGAAATTTCTCACCCAGGTATAAATTAAAATGTATTCTATCATAAGGTAAAAATATTAAAGTCATTTGTCATTGACACCCGTTGATTGAGGAAGTAATTTCTCGTTTTCCTAAACGGAAATGTTTTTTACCCCCACCGGGGGGCAATAATGATCGGAACATCTATATTATACCAACCATTATATAAATGTAACACGGATGTAAAATCGTTTCCATAGACAATGATTTTTTTAACTCCATTAGTAATAATCTGTGCCGCGTTTCCCGCCATATTTAAATTACAACGATTTTGTTACAGAGAATTGCATACATTTAATTCTTTCTTATAGTAGCTTCAACATACATTACCTATTTTAATTTATATCTTTAGAAATACTTATAGCAATTTTTCTGTATACCAATGTACTTGTAGTATAAGTTTACATTTATGAAGCGATTATTATGATAAGATCTGGATTAAAATAATATGTTTAATGTCCATTTGATAACTATATCCATTGTTAGGTGTTATTTATATACAATTGAGATGAATTTACGTAATTCTATGTACATACCATTATAATGTATAGCTATTAAATACGTAGAATTTTACACAAATCATAATTGTTCTTGCCACTGCATAGACTAAATTTTTCATTTTTTACCTAAGTACCTATATTTAAGTTGCAAACAATTGTGAACCCACAGATTATCTCTATGATAGTGTCAATATATTTTTTATAGATTACAAATTATTTTTACTACTTTAAGGCAATTTTCTGTAAATTT